TCAAGCTCCCAGGCCTCTGGTAGAGGACCCGAGCTTGAAGGATAAACCGCCCGCAGGGGCGTGCTGGGTGTTTTTTTATATATATATATATATATATACACACACATATATACATATATTGGGGTGCTAGTAGGTTTTAGGTTCAGGGAATTTACGCAAATTTGCACGGGGTTAGTAAATCTAGTGGTAGGGTCTTGCACCGAGAAAAAAGTCAGTATTTCTAGTGTTAACCATAATGTAAACCAACAAGAGGCCACCAGACAGTAAAACATACAAAGAGACTTTAAGAGAATGCTAACTGCCCCAACTGTACTGACCTAAGCCTAATCTTAAAAGTAGAGAGGGTATCTGTCTTCCAAATCCAAATTGGCAGCTGTTTTCACAGAAGAGGGACCTGAAAGGTGAAGGTTCTACCTGCCATTCTCCCCAACTTTCAGGCAATGAATGGTTAATCTAAAAAATAAACAAAAAAATACTGCAGTGAGTGTCCTGTAAAGTTTTTAACTAATTTTAAATAAACTTTTAAATGTTTTGTGCACTTTGATTAAAAATTTTCAGGGATACGACTTTGTTTTGTTTGATTATATATCGTCTTTATTTTCTCATCGTAGGTGGTCTGTTTATATTATTTGTAGAGTTTGTAAATGAGCAGCCAAAATGGTTTTCACTGAGTCAGCAAAACTGTTTCTCTCCACAACATGATTTTCATTGGTATATCTAAGCAACATGCTTACCATGTGGAGATTTTCCAATGGTTAAGGCAAAAAATGTATGCTTTTTGATCTGTCCCTTCAGATTTTCCACAACATGACTGTAAGGATGAGGAGGGGCTCACAAATCAGCAGGTCCGTAACCAGGAGAAGAACTCCAGTTTAGGCCAGGAGGATCCTTCACAGATTAAAGGGCAACAGGAGGAACTCAGTACCACTGAAGAGGAAAAACCGCTTGTACTAATGCAGGAGACTGCAAATTTTCCATCTCGTGAAAAAAGTGACCACAGTGAATCAGAACCATGCTGTGACCAGTGCCTTTCTCACAACTCTTCTGACACAGATGAGGATGAAAGCAAGGATGGTAACTCACACAGAAATAAGTCGGAGCAAATCGTATCAGGCTTGTCAGTTCAAAATTCCAAGACAGCTAAGTTATGTAGAACCTGTGGGAAAAGATTTATTTGGAAGTCAGACTTAACTAAACACATGCGAAATCACACTGGTGAGAAACCACATTGCTGTAGCACCTGTGGGAAAAGATTTTTTCTAAAATCAAATTTGAAAACACACATGCGAATTCACACAGGCGAGAAGCCACATTGCTGTAGCACCTGTGGGAAAAGATTTACTAGGAAGAGTGAG